GCAGAGATGGTATCCACAATGAAAACCATGCTTAGTGTCTCTAGAGCACATACAGACAAAAAAAAAAAAAATAGAGGAGCTTAAGAAAATGATAAAAGCCACGAATGCTCAGCATAGGAAGAAGTGGAATCCATAAGACAGACTCAAGGAGATATCCAGGAGAACAAAAATTCCACTGGAAGTATTTGCAACACATTAAGCCAATGTGAGGACAAGATCTCAGATATAGAAGACAGGCTTGCAGTTAGTGATCATGAAAAGATTTCTTAAGAATAGCAAGAGACAATAAGAAATCAATCTAGCAGTTGCTAGATGATATAAAGAAGAATAGCTTAAGATTGATTAGAGTCAGTGAAGAAATTAAGACATGGCACAAATAATATAAAAAAACTATTCACAGACATCATGGCAGTATACTTCCCTGGCAGGGAAAAAGAATTTGATATACAGAAAGTGAGGCATATAGAAGTCTGATTAGCCACAATCAAAAAAAATCTACAGCCAAGCATATCGTAGTTAAGATTCCAAAAATTCAACACAAGAATAGGATCTTAAAAGCTGTTAGGGAAAATAAACAAATCACCTATAAAGGAAAGCCCATCAGAATCACAGCGAGCTTCTCAGAATAAACCCTCAAGTCAAGGAGAGCTTGGAGTGAAGTATTTCAAGTTTTCTAAAGGAAAACAGCTTTCAAACCAGACTGATGTACCCTGCAAAACTATCTTTCAAAGCTGATGGAGAAATAAGATACTTCCATGATAAAGAACATCTGAGGAAATTTATGATCACCAAACCAGCATTCCACAATGTTTTGAAGGACATTCAAGAAAGAGATAACAAGGACTGTAACTCCATGAACAGAAGGAATCCACAAGGCAAGGCAAAAAAAACACAAGGAGGGAGAAAAAAAGGGGGATCCAACAACAGGAAAATAACATGACAAGGATAAGTCAATACATATCAGTTATAATCACCCATGTTAGGTCTGAGATACAGCTCAGTGGCACAGTGCCTGCTTGGCAAGTGTGAGGTCCTGAGTTTGATTCCTGGTACCCGCCCCAAAAAAACCTACCAAAAAAGGAAAGCCTAGGCCCTGATGGATTCACTGGTGAACTTTATAAGAAATTGAGGGAAGACCTAATGCTGCTACTTCTCAAACTCTTTAATGAAATTGAAAGGGAAACAATACTCCCAAATCTATTCCTGGAGCAAACATTACCCTGATTCCAAAACCAGAGAAGGATCCACCTAAAAAAGAGAACTACAGGCCAATCTCCCTAATGAACATAGATGCAAAAATCCTCAATGAGATACTGGCAAACAGAAAGCAGCAAATCATCAAGAACATTGTATACCATGAACAAGTAAGATTCATCCCACACATGCAGGGATGGTTCAACATACATGAATCCATAAATACAATATACCACATTAATAGAGTCAAGAACAGAAATCCTATGATCATTTCAGTAGGTGCAGAAAAAGCTTTTGACAAAGTCCAGCACCCACTCATGATAAAGACCGTACAGAAAATTGAAATAGATGGTTTTTGTCTCAATCTGATAAAAGCTTTCTATGACAAACCAACAGCCAACATCATGCTAAGTGGACAAAAATTGAAAGCTTTCTCTGTAAAATTAAGAACAAGACAAGGATGTTCACTGTCTTCACTCTTCTTCAACACAGTTCTGGAAACAGTGACCAGAGCAATTAGACAAGAGAAAGAAATAAAAGAAATAACGATAGGAAAGGAAGATGTTAAATTATTATTTGCAGATGACATGGTATTCTACATAGAAGACCCCAAAAAATTCATTAAAAAACTGCTAGATTTAATAAGTAAATTCAGTAATGTAGCTGCAGTCAAAAATCAATAGCATTCCTATACATGAATAACAAACTCACTGAGATAAATTAGAGAAACAACACCTTTCAGTATAGCATCCAAAAAAATGAAAATACCTAAGAATCAATGTAATGGAGGGTGTGAAAGACCTCCACACTGAAAACTACAGTAGTCTAAAAAAGAGACTGAAGTAGCTATTAGACAATGAAAAGATATACCTTGCTCTTAGGAAGAACCATTGTAGTGAAAATGGCCATACTCCCAAAACTGTTATACAGATTTAATGCAATTCCCATCAAAATTCCAACAGCATATCTCACAGAATTAGAGAAAAGAATCCTAAAATTCATTTGGAGCCAGAAGAGACCTGGAATAGCTAAGGCCATTCTGGGCAACAAAAACAAGACAGGGGGCATCACAATCCCTGAATTGAAATTATACTATAAAGTTACAGTGATTAAAAAAGCATGGTACTGCCAAAATAACAGACCCAAAGATCAGTGGAACAGATTAGAAGATGCAGAAACAACTCCAGACATACTCAGCCACCTTATCTTTGACAAAGGTTCCAAACACATTCACTGGAAGAAAGATAGCCTCTTTAATAAATGGTGCTAGAGGGGGCTGGGGATTTAGCTCAGTGGCACAGTGCCTGCCTGGCAAGCGCAAGGTTGTGAGTTCGATTCCTGGTACTGGAAAAAAAAAACCCAAAAATAAATAAATAAAGAAATAAATGGTTCTGCAAAAACTGGCTTTGTACATGCTGAAGATTAAAATTGGCCCCATGCCTTTCACCATGCACTAAACTAAATTGGAAATGGATCAGAGATCTAAATATTAAAACAAAAACATTAAATCTGTTAGAAGATAGACTAGGTAAAACTCTTGAAGACATTGGTGTAGGTAAAGACTTTATGAATAAAACCCTGATCACACAGGAACTATCACAAAGCATCAACAACTGGGATCTCATCTTGTTAAAAAGTCTTTGCAAAGCAAAAACAATCAAGAGAGACAACTCACAAGGTGGGAAAAAGTGTTTCCAGCTGTTCCTCAAAGAATTACTACCGAGAACATATAAAGAACTCACAAATGTCAGACCTCTCAAATTTAAAGACCTAATCCAAATATGAGCATCTGAGATGAATATACACTTCTCTGATGAAGAAATACAAACAGCAAATAAATATATGAAAAAATGTGCAACATCACTGGTCATTTGAGAGATGAATTAAAACAACACTGAAAGCTAGGCATGGTGGTGCACGCTTGTAATCCCAGCATTTTGGAGGCTGAGGCAGGAGGATCGTTGCATGTTCTAGACCAGCCTGGGCAACAAAGTGAGTTAAAGGCCAGCCTGAACCGCATAGTGAGACCCTGTCTCAAAAAGACAAAAAAACAAAGCAAAAAACCCCATAAAAACAAAAACCAAAAAAAACACTGAGATTTCATCTCAGTGGAATGACTATTATCAAGAAATGACTATTTCTTGATATGACTATTATCAAGAATGACTATTATCAAGAAATCAACCCGTAACAAATGCTGGCTAGGCTGTGGGGAAAAAGGAACCCTTCTCCACTGTTGGTGGGAGTGTAGACTGGTGCAGCCACTGTGGAGATCAGTGTGGAAATTCCTCACAAAAGTAGGATTGGAGGTCCCATTTGACCCAGCTAGCTACTCCTCTTCTGGGTATCTTCCCAGAAGAATTAAAACATGTACCACAGTGATACATGTGCACCCATATTTATAGCAGCACGGCTTATAATAGCTAAGTCTTGGAAACAATCAAAATGCCCATCTACCAAGGAATGGATAAAGAAGATGTAGTCTTTTTTATACAATGGAGTATTCCTCAGCCATAAAGAAGGATAAACTGGAGACTTTTATAGATAAGTGCGTGCAACTAGGGACCATACTCGTAAGTGAAACCAGATGCACATGTGCAAGCATTGTATTGTCTCCCTAGTGTGAGAAGCTGAAAGAGTAAGTAAGATCCGAAATGAACGATAGATGTTGCGAAATGGGAGGAAACTGTTCAAAAGGAAAGAGAAACTGGGTTGAGGGAAAGGAGAAAAGAAGGAAGGGAAAAGCAAAAAATATATAAATATATAAATGTATATGCACACAAGATAGTTAAGATAGTTATGCTACTAATTTACTTCATTGGAAAGAAAGGTTTGTGCTAGTATTGTTTGGACAACTAAATGCCAGTGTCCCGTGCTCTCAGTCAGTGGAGACGACAATACACAATGCTGAGGAGGAGTTCATCCGCGTCACATGAGGAGCGTGTGAAGCACGCGGGGCGCGTAAGCTGGAGGGTGGAGGAGCAAGTCGAGCATCGCTAGCAGTTCTGCTGAGATAGGCCCTAATATCCTGTCATTACAGACGGGGAAACTGAGGCTTGGTGAGGTCCCAGCCCTGCCCTGGCACCTGCAGCTGTGTGGCAGAGCTGCCTGACCGGAGTCTGAGCATGCCCCACCTCAGCACGGGGCCGGCCCAGGCTGTGATTCTGGGCAGCAGCCTTATGCCAGCTGGCTGTCCAGGAGGGGTGGGCTGCTGTTGGAGGTCGTGAGCTCCTGACCCTCGAGGTGTCCAAGCGAACTTTAAAAAAAAAAAAAAGGTTATTATTTTGGCGGTAGGGGGTATGAACCCAGCACTGTTACTCTGAGCTGGCCTCCCATCCCCCTACCCCTTTTTATTATTTTGAGACCTGGTCTCACTGAGTTGATCAGTTGCCAGTCTGGTTCTTGAACTTGGAATCCTCCCTCCTCAGCCTCCCAGCGTGCTGGGAGTACAGTGTGCACCACCACACCGGTTCCAGGTGAATCTGTGAAGACCACGGCTTGGAGTGTAGGGGACGGCTGAGGACATTCGGCAGTTACTGGCCCGCATGATGGCCCTGTCATTCCATTCATTCGTTCGCTCCTTCATTTATGACACAGGGTCTCACCCTGTGCTTTGGGCTGCCCTTGAACAGCCCAGGGTGTATCCAGGGTGGCCTCAAAGTCATGGCAGTCCTCCTGCCTCAGCCTCCTATGTGCTGTGTCCCCGTGTGCACCACCATGCCCGGGAGCCCTGTCCGTCTGCTGGCTGCCCGCATTCTCTTGCTGCTCTGCCTCAGCGCTGGCCTGATCAGCCGTCTCTTCCACAGCTCCTCATTAAGCTGAAGACCCGGACTTCCACAGAGTACTTCCTGGAGGCCTGTTCTCGGGAGGAGAGGGACGCCTGGGCCTTTGAGATAACCGGAGCTATTCACGCTGGGCAGCCAGGGAAGGTCCAGCAGCTCCACATCCTGAAAAACTCCTTCAAGCTGCCCCCGCACATCAGCCTGCAGTGAGTGCCGCCCCTGCCCTCGCCCTGCCTGGCTTTGCCGCAGCTGCTCCTGTCCAGGTGCAGGCCGCTATAGGCCTGGATGTCCGCATTGTGCTTTAAGGCACGTGTTTTTCGCTGCCTGTGAAGGGCCCTGTCTCCCCCTGCGCTCTGTGACCTCCTGGGCCTCTGTAACTTCTGCTGGCCTCGTGACTGAGGTGGAAGAGACATGCTGCCCTTGTGCTGCAGGCACGTTCTTCAGGGCTGTGTCACAGCGCCTTGGGACACCCCCGCCCAGGTCACAGGAATGACAAGTTGTGGCAGCTATTGCCTGCCCCTTGGGGGTCCTCATTTATTCGCCCAAGACACTGGCTGGGCCTCTTGGTGCATACCCGTAATCCCAGCACTCAGGAGGCTGATGCAGGAGGATCACAAGTTCGAGGCCAGCCTGAACTGCATAGCAAGACCCTGTCTTGAAAAAACAAAAACCCAAACTAAACTGACAAAGGTGCGGTATGAGTCTGTTTCCGGCTCGGAGAAACGCCTCAGCAGGGGCCGCCTCTGTGGGTCCAGGGAGCTGCTGAGCCGTGGGAGGGCACGGAGGAGGGCGGCTCCAGGTGGGCAGTGGTGGGTTCAGGGAGGGGCAGCGCCCAGCGGTCGCTGTCGGAGTTGGTGCTGAGGGGGACATGGCAGAGACCCACGGGGGTGACTGCACACGCTGGCTGCGCAGCAGGGCCCTGGTGGAAGGAAGCCCAGGTGGAAGTCCTGGACCAGCTGGAGGCGAGAGGAAGCGGTGCAGATGCCGCCTCCAGAAGCCGGTGCTTCCCTGAGCGCCCCGCTCTGCAGGGGCCGGGTCACAGCCGTGCGTGCTGCTGTATTCCCTTCGGGGACCCCCCCTGCGGCTGTCCGCGTGACAAGCGTCCCTCTGTGCCTTTCTCCCGGCAGTCGCATCGTGGACAAGATGCACGACAGCAGCAGCGGGATCCGGCCGAGCCCCAACATGGAGCACGGAAGCACCTACAAAAAGACCTTCCTGGGTGAGCCTCCCATCGCCGAGCCCGAGAGCCCGGTGCCTGAGACGCCCTCGCGGTGCGGCTCGGCGGCCCGTGGGCGTGGCCG